TATATATATATATAAGAATATTATTCAACTATCAGTAAAAAAAATAATTCATTTTAAATTATAAGAAATATTAAATGAGTTTTATAGGAAACATGATTTCTCAATAATGTTTTTTTTTAAAAGATTTTCACCAAATTATTTCCACAAGATAAGTAAGAATGTGAATATTCACGAGTTAAAATTTTTTTTTATTCTAATAAAATATCATTTTTCATTTATTTTTCTAATTAAAACAGTACAAAATGTTGATTTTCAAATAATATTTATAAATATTTTAAAAAATATTTATTATCGACTAAAAAAATTTAATTATTATTAATAATAAGGATTCCCATAAAATTTTTATTTTCAGGAACCATGACTCCTAGGCATAATTTTTTTCTTCTTCTATCAAATACCTCCTAAACTTAATTTAAAAATAAAACGAGTTTAACTAAAACATATAATGGTGTATTTTTTTTATTTGATCATGAATTGTTATTATATAAACTTCTAGGGTTGATTTAACGATAAGAGTTGAGATATATAACACAAAATTTTACGCTTTAATTTTGTTATTGCCTTTATAACTTGTACGGATTTTTTTTTGTTTTGCTATTTACATGTTTTTTTTAATAATTATTATTTTAAATTATATTTAAACTATTTCTTATTAATTAGCATTTTAAATTTTTTTACCTAATATTGCTGAAAAATTAAACTCTAATTAATTGATAACATCTATTTAAGGGTTAAATTATATTTTTGGTCTTTTATCTTATTTATTAAATTCATTTTAGTTCTTTATCTACTAAAATGTTTATTTTATCCTTTATCTTTTATATTTAGATTAATTTATTTTTTTAAAATAATAATAATTTTTTATTTTGTAATTTAATTTGAATCAATTTTTAACTAATTTAAAACACAAAACTTGTAAAAATGAATTTAATTATATAAAAATTATAAAACTTAATTGACGTTAAAATTCACGAGAGTTATAATAAAATAATTTTTTTTGTAAAAAATATGTTTAATAAACAACTAAAAAATAATATAAAATTTAAAATTTAAAATTTTTAATCACTTTTCAGATTTATTTTTATGCATTTTTCATCATGTATGTAATACTTTTTTATTTGAACTTTAATTACATTTAATAATTTAATTTAAGTGAATTCATTGACATAAATTTTAAATCTTGAATTAGTCAAAAAATAATCTAAAATTATGTTTCAAAATTAAAAATAATTATTTTAAAAAAATCAAATTAACCTAAATTTAAAAGATAAAGGATCATAATCAACATTTTAAAAGATAAATGACTAAAATAATTTTAACAAAGATAAATGATCAAAAATATAATTTAATATTTGTTTAAAAGTATATTATATAAACACTTTAAAAAAATTTCAAGATTGTATAAATATTTCTTACTTTTTTTATTTTTACAATAATTTTTTAATTATTTAAGAAAACATTACATTAACACTATTTAAACATTACAACATTACGCTAATCTCTTTAATTATTTAAAAATAATATGATATAAACCTTTATGAGAAAATCACTGTAAACACTAAAAAAAAGAGAGAGTAACAATGTAATTTTGTGAAAGTTTAGTTAGTGTAATTTACTCTTTATTTTATGATAATGTATTAGCAAAACTCATAACTAAAAGTTACTTAGGAATTAAACATGAAAATCAATGATGGAGGCAGAAAATTTCATCTTTTATGAATATTGTAGCGCAAAATTTAAAGCAAAAATGCAGTCTTTAATTTTTACTACCTGGTTAGTGGGAAGGGTGGCGCGTGGCTTGTGATTGAATGGAGTCGCGTGGAGAGTGTGAAACGCGTTAACGCGAAGAAGTATGTAATTGTGAAAGGCTTCTCCCTCTCTCTTTACTTCTCACACCGCTCACTCTCTCTCTCCTTCTCTCCATGTCTTCTTCACATCAAACGTAGATTTTTCTTTTTCTTTTTCTTTTTTTAATCTCAAACCATTTTTTACTCTCGCAAAGTGGTGAGCATATTTATTCTTTTTTATTTTTTATTATTTTGTTTTTCTCCTTTAATTCAATTAACGAGTACTTGAGATCTTGCAATTGGAGCTTCCATATTAGTGGGTTGTCCAATCTTCTTCTCCTCAGATCGACCCTTTATCATTTACTTAACTGGGAATTCTTTCTTATGAATTTTCTCCACAAAAAAATGTTTTTTTTTTTAATTTTATTTGTTGGGGATTTTGATGAGCTGTTTGGTCCCTGTTCAGGTGTATCTGGGGAAGTTTGATTTGTGAAATGAACAAAGGACAGTCACCGGAGCCGCTTGATTTCTTCATCTGGACTGTTGAGGTATTTATTTTTAATTATTATTTATTTATATTTTCAAATAAAGTAAAACCATACCTTGTGAATTGTGATCCTTTTTTATGTGATTTGTACTGTTAACATGTAATTAGGTTTTCTACAGCAGGTAGTGTAATTAAATTGCTGGGTACATAACCTATATTTTCTCCATGGTAGTCTGTCTTGTGATACTCATTTGCTTCTCCGATAACAAGTAAAAGCTGAGGTTGAACTTGTTCTTTTTTATGTTGGAAAGTTGAACATAGTATTGTCTTATAAAGTGGGAAATTAAGTGGATGATGTTGAAAAGTTCTTCTCAATTTGGAAATAATTAGCTAATCAAGCTTGTGTTGTGCGTGCGTTATTCCAGTTAATTGTGAATATCATCTCCTTCCTGTTGTTGTCACAAGTTATCTGGTTCTTAAATTAAGTTTCCAATTCTTGCTAGATAACTTTGTTCAATTCTTCAGTTTGACACTCGCAGTTTCTAAGATCATTCAAAAGTGAGGGGCTTAACATATTCTCTCAAAGAAAATAAATGATCGCACTGAATGGTTACTTGCTCCTTTGTGCATCACAAGCATGTGTAAATCTTCATTTGATGAGTTTCCACTGCAAAGTTTTATGCATCTTTCTGAGATCATTGCTTTTTTAAACTCTTGTTGCGGCTATGTTTTGGAAATATAGCATCCGAAATTGCCAATATATTATTTGTCTTGTTTAGTAGGTTACTAAATTCATACATCTAAAGTGTAAACTAATATAAGTGAAGGGGTATTGTTTTGTTATTCTACTTTGATATGTGTCAAGGTCACAGGATTGCGGTATGTTTCTACTTATGTATTGTTAAGTGTTTAATGCACGTTTATTCAGCACTGTTTTATAGGTCTAAACTCTATGATAATTGATGCACTGTAACCAATGACTGATATAGAGCACGTTTAGCTTCAAGTATAGAAGAATTTTTAAAAGCTTTTATACTGAAATAGAGTTTTTTTTTTGTTTTTGTTTTTGTTTTTTGTTTTTTGTTTTTGTAGAGGAACTCCCAAAAGTTCTTTTAAGCTTGTATCAAAACAAACTCATAATGTAGTAAGCTCTGGAATGCTTCCACATATTTCCTTTTAGTTCACTTATTTTGCTGTCTGTATGATGAATTAGGCAAACTACATAAGAGCTATGTTGGCAAAGATCTAAGCTTGGTCAATGTAACCTTTTGACTTGCTTCCTCTGTGGGTGTTGTTATACAGGCATATCATGTAGTGCATCTCCATGGCAAAATCAAAATGTAACTGATAATTTAAACTAACAACTGTTTCTCATTCATCTTGTGTGTTTTATCAGGATGTTGGCTTGTGGCTGGAGACTATAAATCTTGGTAGTTACCGCCAAATTTTTAAAGAAAATGGTGTTAATGGAGAATACCTGGAAGGCATGTCCATGTTTACAACTGAACAGATCCTACGATTTATAAGACGTTGCCACATGAAGTGGGGAGACTTCATCACGTTGTGCAAGGAATTAAGACGGATTAAAGGTCTCTCTCTCTCTCTCCTCTCCCCCCTTTAAATAGTAAACAGACAAACACATGTCAATAAGCTTTCATTTGAAATTTTGTTTTTTACTTATCTGTTTGGTGCACTTCCCCTGCTAAGGTAAAAATGCATGATCATTAATGTTGTAACAATCGGTTGTGTTATATGAACACTCTAAGAAAACATGAATATACCCGAAGAAAAATTAAAGTTGACGTGTAGTATCAATGTGAGATATATCTAGAAATTGATTACCTACTGCCGTCATTTCATTATAGACAACCATCAAAGGGTCTCATCATAGCACATAATTTTCTATATTGTGCAGTATCTCAGACAAATTGTGAATTACATTTTCTAAAAGTACTTCTGCCTTACAAATCAGTTTAAATAAGTTTTTAGTCACTAAAAAAAAATTGTAATTTTCTATTTGATTTCCCTTTTTTATTTTGTTCAAATTAGTTTCTCCAAGGCATTTTTCTTTTCCAAATGAAAAATGCCACTAGTTTGTGCAGTTTTCAATTCTTATTTGATTCCTCTAGATATCATGAATATCTCATTTAATTTCTCGAAATATAAAGAATTTTCTATTTGGTCTCTCATTTAAAGGGACCAAATGAAAAATTCGTAATATTTAAGAAGGATCAAACTTAATTAAAACCTTGTAATATAAAGAATTCTCAAAGGATCAAAAACTTGATTAAACCTTTTATTATTATAATTATATAGGCTGAAGTCATCCAGAACTTTGATTGTCAAGACGTCCATTTCTATACATGTGATATGTTTACACATAAGGGGACATGAAATGTGCCAATGCTTCTTCTGTTTGTTGTGTTGTGTCTTTTCTTGCAAGATGATATTGTTGTGACAACATTAAAAAAGAGGTGTTCACCCCCAGTAAAGTTGTTGGAAAAAATGGCCCTATCTGTTACATGCTCTTAACTTATGAACTCTACATTCATGTATGTAGTGGCTTGTCTGAAAGGGGAGCAGAAGGTGCGGCGGCCATGGTGGGCGCCGGCGTGCCTATCAACAGTGTTCTTGAAGGTGGCAAAATCCAACAGACAATCTAGAGTTGTTTCCCTGAAGCTGGAACCATGATACAATAAATTGAAGCTCTACATGTGTGTACGTATAGCAATTTTCTTTTTGCCTAGAAAACAAAAGATAGGAAGAACTTTTTCTAGCCTTTTTTTATTTTTCTTTCCATTGCAAAATCTGGTTGTTTCTTCTCCTCTGGAGAAATCTTATGTTGTAGAAGGTCCTTGTGCACTAATTCCAGGTGCTGTGTAATTATGTATTCTCTGTTATGCGAACGAAAATACGATATATGCTGTTTCTCTAATCTTCAAGTTCAAATCACCATCGTTATCTTCATCTTCCTACACTCTTGAATTCGTCATTTGCATGTGTACTACTTCTACAGTTCCACTAATATTATTATATATTCATTAGTAAATTTCTTTTATACTAGTTAACTTTAACTATTGATATAGTATTTTATAAGAACATTGGTATTTAATTTAGAAATAAAAATGAAAGAGATAGACATGAAGAGATGAGAGATTAAGGGTCTGTTTACCTTTTATTTTTAAAGCAGTTCCTTTGTTTACATTTTGTATTTTTAATCTGAATAGAAGAAAAAAATCTGATCAATAATAATCTCTAAAATATAAAACACTCAATTTTTAATTCATAAAAAATACAATGATGGGAAAAGATTAGTAATTAAGATATATATAAAAGATTCTGTAATTTATAATCTAATGTGGTTGTTCCACCACCTAACCTTCCACTATAAAACACTCATTTAAGATAACTATTGATATAATTTATATGTATATAAGATTAATGAATCTAACATTTTTTGCAAGTTCCACAAGTGGAATAATGCGCCGACGAAGTCCCTTTGAAAAAGTTTCATAACAAATTTAGTTTACCACGTTTCATTATGGTCGCTTGAACTGCAACCCAAAGTCCAACGGAGTTGGTTTCCTTTATTTATTTCAACCGTTTGCATTTACTAGTTTTTGGATTGATTTAGTTTAGTGGCTGGGAATTTGGATACTACACATAAGGTTGTATACACATTTTTTTTTCTTCTATTAGTTCCTATGTTATAAAAAGTGGTTTTGCATTGACTGTGGTCTTTTTTTTTTTTTAGTCAAAGAAAACTGCGTAGTGTTTATTAAGTTTTAACAGTTGTTTTTAGGGTAATGAATAGTAAATACTAAATACCCACAAAAAAATGACTAGAAACCCTTATAACGATAAATAATAAAAAGAGCCTTCTAAAAATTATAAAAAATGAAAATAATTTTATATTAACTGAAACTATGAAAAATTATCAAAAAATTGCGTTTTTATTTAATGATTTTTATTCATGATTTGTAGTTTTTTAATAAATTTTAATTTATAATAGAGAATATATAACAATAAGTAGATCAAATGTGTTGCTAATATTTTTCTTTAGTCATATACTTAATTAAAGATGTTTTGCAGTGAATATTTCGTATAAAAATAAAATTAAGAAATATTTAAAATCAAACTCTCTTAAACTGTTATACCAATCAAATATAATAATCGCATTTTTTTGGTTATTCATTATGAAAATTAATTCAAACCAAACTCGACTAAACATTGATTTTTTCTTTTTATATTATGTATGAAAAATCCTATGATCTAAAAGATCATATGGTTTAATTTGAATTTAATATTATATTCAAATCAAGCTATACTTAATTTTATTATATTCTTCTATTTTCCCCCCTATTTTAATGTTACATTAATATCAATATGAATATTTTTTATAGTGTCTTTTTTAATTACTTAATATTTTATTAAATTTAAAGAAAATTTATTTTTAACCTAATTAATTTATATTTAATTACATGACAAAATTAAAAATTATCTATATATCCCTATAAATCATATTTTTTTTAAAAAACAATTGCTTATATAACTGAAAATAATACAAGACATGTATGAATATAAAATTATATATATATATTTGTTTTTATATTTTTAAATATGTTAACATAAATTTATATAAAAATAAATTAAAAATCATAATAATATAAAAAAATTATAAACTTAATACCCGATACACGATATGAGTTAAAAAAAAATTGTATTTAGCTCGTATAACTTTTTATTCAAAACCCAAACCAATCGAGAATACATATAGTTTATAGTTTGTTTTTTTTTTTTTTTTTCATTTATCCTGTCTTTTTATTGACTTACAATAATTTTATATCAAACATTCAATAATAGTATAGTTAAAACAGACAGTTTAACATCTATATAGTTTTATATTCCCAGAATTTTAAATTGGGAATATAATTTCTTGGTAACTATTTTCAGAATAGGAACTCAACTTACTAAATTAGGAAAAACATTTAATACATATAAAAATTATAATATTTTTTTTTAAAACAAAAAATCTCATTCCTTCTATTTCTCTTTTACCTCTTCCTCTCTTTTTCTCTCTTTTTTTCTCTTTATCTTTCTTCTTCACTTTCATTCTCTTCCTCTCTTTCTTTTTCTCCCTTTTTCTTTTTATCTCTCTTTTTCATATCTTTATTATTTTTCTTTCTATGTATTTCATTATTTTTTCACCTTATCTTATATAAATATTTTTAAAAATCTTTATAAGTAACTAAATATATTTTGGAAATTATGATTCCTAGGATTTATAATTATAAGAATCATGATTATTAGATAAAAAAAGATTTCTCTCTTACTGAATGCCCCCAAAGAGTTAAAATTTATATTTTGAAATATTTTTACATACACACAACAAATTATTAACAAGTTGTTAGATTCAAATGTAATTGAATTTAAATTTTAAAATAGTTTTAAATTTATGAATAAAAAATAAAATTGAAAAAAAAATCACATCAATAATATAATAAATTTACGCAAGTATCTAATAAAAAATTCATTATTATTGATTATATAAATCAAATAATGAAAAAATGTTGAAGTTATATTTAGATATAAGAGGATTTTGTTAACCATAAATCCATAATAGTGATAGTTAACTTATAGATGAAGTTACAAAATTTGTTCTAACTTGTGGTCTCAAGTCTGATTACCGAACATGATAGAATTTTGTCTGGCACAATGGTGGGGAAAAAGTACCCGCTAACAAAAACATTTATTACCAGAATTACGTTTTAATTTTTCAAAGTTATTTGTTTTTTGGAAAATAAAAATGAAGAGTGAATAGTTTATTACAGTTGGAAAGTAAAATCCAGTAGAGTATTACTATTAGGTTCCTTGTCTTCGTTTTCCCTCTCGTGATTTCAAATGGCGAAAACCCCATAAACCCTAAAATCTAGTTGTATCGAGTGATCATCATGTTCTCTTGCGGAACGAAGAAGAGCAATGCTCGCTCTCTGAGAGAGCAAGGTCGTGGTTCCTCGGCGGCGGATTCTCCGGTGACTCCTGCTCGAACCTCTATCAACCACAGCGCCGCCGTTCCCAATCGCCCGACCACCGGCACTCCCGCTCCTTGGGCTCCTCGCTTATCCGTCCTCGCCAGGTATTCATTCATTCGCTTCTTCACCGAAATCGCGTTCTGCTTCTAACTTTTTTCCGTTTTCCTCGCGTAGGGTTCCTCAGGCTAACCGAATTGGAAAAGGAGACGACGCTGATCCTACCAAACCTGTTTTCGTCGGCGAGTTTCCTCAAGTGGTTCGTGACGAGCAGAACATTTTGCTGCACAAGCGAGTTCCTGGTGAGAGCTGAGAACAATTTGATTTGTGATTTCTCTCTTAATTGCGTTAGCACGTGTTTTAATGGTTTTGAAGTAAATTAAGGTTGATGTGTTTGAGGTTATGATGTGACGCAATGCAGCTGAAGATCGCCCTTGTGGTGGGATTGACAAGAGCACGTCCCTCGCTTGGATTATTTGTGGGAACAGGATCTACCTTTGGAGCTATTTGTCTCCTGCATCCTCCGTGAAATGTGTTGTTCTTGAAATTCCTCTGAATTATGCTGATTTTGGCAAAAGTGATGCTGGTAATTGGTTGCTTCGTGTTGTTAATTGTGATGCCGCGTCTGTGGAAAGCAATAAGGTTGCGAAACATTGCAACTCTGCTGCTGTGGTTTTGTTTAATTGTCAGACTCGGGCTGTTATATACTGGCCGGATATCTATTCTCAGTTGCAGGGGCCGGTCACTAGTCTTGCATCATCCGATGAGCTGGAGGCTGTTTTGACACCTGATGGGAAAGGGTCCTTCAACCGGCAGCGGCGGCAAAGTAAGCTTGGAAGTAGTTTGAATGGACTGCACATGTTTAACTCTGTGATTGCTTCTGCTGTTCTTGGTTGTAAGTTTGAATGTGTTGCCCTTGCGTGTAGCTCAAGTGGTGAACTTTGGCAGTTTCAATGCACTCCTACTGGCATTATTCGAAGGAAAGTATATGAAAATATGAATTTCTCTCTGCAATGGGGTGAATCAGGTCAAATTGTGAGCAATGTTGGGTACCCAAGGTCTCTGATATGGTGTTTCCCACATCATGCCATTCAGGAGTCAAATCGGCAATTCTTGGTATTGACAGACCATGAGATAAAGTGTTTCAGAATAGAATTTGGTTCTGACATACCTATTTCAAAGCTTTGGTCTCAGGAAATTGTTGGAACAGATGCTGAGGTTGGCATTAAGAAGGATCTGGCTGGTCAAAAAAGGATCTGGCCTCTTGATATGCAAGTAGATGATCATGGTAAAGTCATTACCATTCTTGTTGCAACCTTCTGCAATGACCGAATTAGCAGTTCAAGCTACATGCAGTACTCTCTCTTGACCATGCAATATAAATCAGGGTTTGGGGTAGAGACAACAAATGACAGGGTTTTGGAGAAAAAAGCCCCTATTGAGGTGATAATGCCAAAAGCCAGAGTTGAAGATGAAGATTTCTTGTTTTCCATGAGGCTTCGGATAGGAGGAAAGCCTTCAGGATCTACAGTCATAATATCTGGGGATGGAACAGCAACTGTTTCCCATTATTATAGAAACTCTACACGACTCTATCAGTTTGATTTACCCTATGATGCTGGGAAAGTGTTAGATGCTTCAATACTTCCTTCTGCAGATGATTATGAAGAAGGTGCATGGGTTGTATTAACAGAGAAAGCAGGAATATGGGCAATACCGGAGAAAGCTGTTGTACTTGGAGGAGTGGAACCACCTGAGAGAAGCTTATCTCGTAAAGGCAGTTCAAATGAAAGATCTGCACAAGAAGAGATAAGAAATCTTACATTTGCTGGTAATGTTGCTCCTAGAAGGGTTAGCTCTGAAGCATGGAGTGCTGGAGATAAACAGAGGACGGTTTTGAGTGGGATTGCACGTCGAACTGCACAAGATGAAGAATCG